ATATGCTGATGGAGAAGAAAAGAGACTACTCACCTTAGGAGATTAGGAGGAAGAAGGAATTTATGGGCGTAGAAACCTTGCTCTATTTCTTCGTGATCTGTTATAATACACGAAGTGAGAATAGGCACTATATCCAAACCAAAAATAGCAAATATGCTGTACACTTAGCATCTGTCTTCTTCGGTCCACGAACTTTTCACCTGAAACTGCACGGCTGCGGCCGTCGCGCAGGCCATGATCCAAGACGGGGCAGCGGCGTCCTCCCCCGCTCCATCTTTGGCACCTTGGACCGTCGTTGTGGAGCCATTCACTGGAGCCGAAGCCCACGCCGCAGGGTGGGTGGGTGTGTGGGGGGGGGGGGTTCTTGGTGGAAAAACAACAGCGGCTGAGCTTCGATGAACCTCGCGGCTGCCGTCCCAAAACCCGCAGCGCCAGGGTCCCCTCCGTCGGCCCAGCTTGCGCTCCGCGACGCCATCTCGCAGGCACATCGGCATGGGGTGGGCGGCCAACGCCGGACGGTCGGCCGTGCCGGGAGCGGCCGGGCACGACGCCGAGCAGAGGCAGTGCGGCCATGTGGGAGGCAACCGAGGGCGGGGCGAGCGTGGCGCGAGGTAGACGTGGTGGGTGCGCTGGAGGCCAAGGGAGGCGCGAGGGAGAGAGGTAGGAGAAGTGGAGCGGAAGCGCACCGCGGCGCCTGGGGCGGACCGTGGCAGTTGGGTTGCCCAGGACATTCTGGAAGGCTCCGTGGAGCTGGCGAGTTGCTGGTCGTTTACGCGAAATCGTAGGGACAGGAAAAGGCGATGACGTGGCTGCATAGGAGAAGAGAAAATACACTATAGGAATAAGGGTAATGGTAGATTTGATTCAGAATGTGGGTAGCAAACTAGCAATATAATGTGTTCTTACATCTGAGCTACAGAATTCCTTTTAACATTATCTCAGCAATTTTGAAGGTGGAATTCATTTGCCTTTAAATTCTGTTTTTTCATGGATGACATACTTTGCCTCAAAATTTGTTTATGTAAAATCACAAATCCTGAAGCAAATCTGGTTGCTAGTGGATTGTGGCAGCCTGCAGATCAGAACTGGCTATATATGCTCTAGAAGTAATGAGGCTTATTGATCTGCCTATTATCATGTTTTGATTAGTTTTCTTTGTTTTTGTTCTTCTCTATTTCTCTATTTTCTGTTCAAATTGGCATACTTACACCAATAAACATGTTTTTTTCTTTGTTCAAGGTGGTAGCATGGCAGCTATCTGGTTGTTTCCATCATCTTTGTTTATGTTTTTCATGCATACTTCATTATAGTAGTTTCAGGGTTACAATCTGTAGTGGTATTTCTTATGCAAATTTTAATACTTTTAGGTACCCAAAAGCAACTGAGATATTTGAAGCGATTGCTCGTCAGTCAATCAACAATAATCTTCTTAAGTATAGTGTCAGAGGAATTCTCCTTAATGCTGGCATCTGCCAACTATGTAGAGGTGATCCTGTTGCCATCATAAATTCATTGGAGCGATACCAGGTGTGTATTATTCTGTCATATAAGACCCTAACCAGTTAATGTGTGCCTTGTTAACTTTATAAAGATGTTTTGTTACTATTTTGCAGGAAATTGACCCGACTTTCTCTGGGACACGTGAATACAAGCTTTTAGCTGTATGAATAATTATTTACCCTTTTTCCTTGACACTTTTTCATTGTATGCCTGACTCGAATATAACATTATCTCTAGTACCAATAATGAAATATAATTTTAAAATAAATCACCCAATCATAAGCTATTTTTATTTCAGGATCTTGCTGCATCTATGGATGAAGGGGATGTTGCCAAATTCACTGATGCCATCAAAGAATTTGATAGCATGACACGTCTGGTATGTTCAGTTGCAGTCCCATGTTTTATTTTGAAGTTTCAAGTCATTGGTGGCTAACCTGTTTATTTGTAACTTAAATGCTTTCTAAGTGTATATAAACAGTAAAATGGATGGGAGTTAGCTTAATAAGAACTTAAGAATAAATACTTCCTTGGGTCAAACTATTTGTTGCGTTTGAATTTGCATGGTCATTGTATATCTACCATTACTAATTTGTAATTTCTTCTTGAATATATTCTTAAAATCCTTCGAGTCTGATTTTGCAAATATATTTGAATAAATTTTGCAAGTATATTCTTAAAGGTACATTCTTTAAGGCAAAAGATTTATTCAAACCTTAAAAACTACAAACATCAACAACTTTTACCTTTGTAGGCATGTAAAACTTGTTGATGTTTGTAGGTTTTAAGGTTTGAATAAATCTTTTGTCTTAAAACAATGTATTTTTATGACTGGAGGCAGTATACAATTAACCTGATAAATCAAATCTAGATTTGGCTGGAAAAATATCAGCAAACATGCAAGGTATTCTACTGTTTCTCCAGTCACCAACCTCACAGTGCAGGATGCCAGTGTTTTATTCTGCATTGGACGTCAACCTACCTCAACATCAAAGAGTTTTAAGGGCAATAGTTACTCTTTAGGTTCTCAACCTTTTATAACATGCTAAATCATGAGGTTCTTCTGCAACATGATTGCCGCAATGCATTCTCTGAGATAACAGCATAAACTTAGAAACTGCTCCAAAAGGGATTAATGGACACAATATGTAGTATTTTATGTGGTCCTTTTCTGTTTTCTCCCCTCTATCTAATCTGTCATATATTGTGTCAGGATCCTTGGAAAACCACCCTGCTGCTCAGGGCGAAGAATGAGCTGAAGAAAAAGGAGGACGATGAGGACGACCTTACATAAGTATTGTTGTAAAAAAATGGTACGATATGTTTTGGTTTGTGCCTCCATTGCATTGGAGGCCACGTGTTCCTTACAAACTAGCATGATGAAATTAATCGCAGGTCTGGTTGTACAGAACGTCAATTTGGGTTTGTCCTGTTGATATGACTACCAGTTTCGTTGATTTCATGATTTGCTGTCAGATTGAAAATTAGTACCGAATGCTTGTTTCTGCGGTTCCTGTTCTTTTCAAATCTCTAGACCTTATTTGCTATTGTAGTTCTATACCTCATTAATGATCTACTCCTTAGTCCTATAATATGGTGCATTCTGGCATTTAAAATTTGTCCTCAAATATAATATACTTTAGAGGATAAAAACCAATTTTACATTAAATACTTTTCATTTATCAACTAATCATTATTAATCATGTTGATGATAGCGTCTGATTAGGAAATAAAATGAGGGTACGTGTATTTTTTACGTGCTTTTTTATTTTGTCTTAAAATTTATGGAATGCACTATATTACATGATAGATGTCTTAAAATTTATGGAATGCACTGTATTATAGAACAGAGGGCGTAAGCATGAACTGTCTTAAAATTTATGGAATCCACTGGATTGTATCACCGGTCTGCAAATGTACCAGCTTTACCAAGTGAATTCAACTGTTCAAAATCGCTGTTGTTGTTACTGTTACTTATCCCTCAGTGCATGAACTGTTGCCCATTTTTAACTGTTTTAAATCCTGGTTAAGACGTCTTGAGGGATTCCACAGAAATCCTAAACCCCCCTAAAAAACTAATTTGGACTCGTTGACGCCGCCGCCTCTTGCCCGACAGATCTGCTGTTGAGCTCGAGGTGGAGGTGGAGTGTTTGGGCCATGCTCTTCCTCATGTATGTAGATCGGCCACTTTTTTTTTTTTGAGCCTCACTTCTATTTGATTTTCCGGGCCTGCTTCGAGTGTTAGAGAGGTGTCGTCCCTAGTGGCACTACAACAAGGCCTCTCTCATTGGACGTGGTTCAGGTATGCCTTACTCCAGGCAAGATGCTTGATGAAATGCCTTAGTGTAGCTGTTCAGGTATACCGTATACTGAGTGTTGAAAATTCTCCTATTCAAGACAACTAGAAAATTAAGCGCGTTTCACGGCGCCCTACCAGCATCATTCGAATCAATCTGTTAAGCAATATTATGAAGTGTATATGGACTTTCTCGTAGAGATATATACTTCCAATAACAGGAATTGAACCGATAACACAAATTGCAGTCCTTACAGGCCATATGATTCTGTCTAGATTACTTGCAATTTGCAAAACAGTTGTTTCCATCTGAAGCACTAAACTGTTCATGATGCAAATATGAAAAGAAGTAATACACGGTCTGCAGCATGCAGCCATGTTCACACGAACGAATATCTAGTCGACTACAATATTAGCAGGTTGCTTCAATCACTAAACGCTTAAGTGGCAGGTGCGATCAGGCAATCACACATAAACATACGGGTTGCCTAGGCAGCTTATGCTTGGTGGCTTTCATCACGAACAAATAAAGCTGTAGAGGCCTATCTGATAAATTTAGAGGGAGCAATGCAGTGATGATTGATGAAGCATGTCGCACATAAACAAATGGGTTGCTTAGGCAGCTTATGCTTGGTGGCTTTCATCACGAACAATCAATGCTGCGATGGCCTATCTGACGGAGGATGAAGCATGTCATCTAGTGGAACTGTGGAAGCCACGTTCTTGCACAAGATTCCTAGTTTTAAATTTTTATCAGATCAAGTTGGTGGATTTGAATGCCAACTTGATTAGAGGATTGATAAGGTAACTTGCTAGTACCAAGCCGTTCCAATATATCCAATTAAAATCGCCTGGTTGCTCAGAGACGATGTACTAAACTCGTTTTTGCTCAAACTATCCAAACAACGTAATATGTAACCTCAAACCTAGCAAATTAACCTAAATAAGACATATTTTTCATAACAATCCTGATCAAACATTGTTTTAGGAAAACCAATTTCCAATTCTACTGATCCGAACGACCACATGCATCACAACACCAAATGGTTCTGCAGTGCAAACTCTTATACATTTTGATAGCAGGATAATGCTAACAATCATTAGTACACAACCGCGAGATGAGGATCTCCACGGTCAGGAACTTGGGCAAGGCAGGGCCAGCAACAGGCCGAGGACAGCCCAGTCAGTCGATGATCTCCCTGCTTCAAGCTCTGGTCCAGAGAAACACCTTACCACTAGAGCTTGCACCAGCCAGATGGCCAACTTTGCACGGGTGTAGCGTAAACCGGCATGGGATGGCTGTCATGTGTTCACTCTCAAGAAATGCCATGTATGAAGCCGAGAGGCTCTTCTGACTGCGATCAACTGAGATAACATCTATTGCTCTTTTCATGTTCCCAACAAATAGATTGCTGTCATTCCAGCTCCAGATTGCTCTGCAAGCGTGGATTTAAGTTTCATCACTAAAAATAATAATGGGTTACTCACTAAAGAGTGCGACAAGGTGTGAAACTCATCATACTTGAATGTGGATAGCCATCTGCCTGTCCTGTTATCATGCTTAAGAATACATGAGTCATCAAAGTTATCCATATTGAAAATTCGGACAGTGTCATCAAGGCTGCAAATAGTAATAATAAGGTCATTCAATGTAACAATAAAAACTTGTGATTTGTGTCAATATAAATCTGTGAAAATTGCATAACAAGTTGAGGTGCTAACAGCACAGAAACTATGCTGGACCAGATTAACAGACAGGCATAAGAAAACATATGTAGCCCCTCATTCTTTAGCAACTTCAGCAAGACAACCACACTAATAGTTAATTGATGAGTGTTGCTTTTATGCGCTCCAAAAGGTTAATAAAAGGCATAAACCTTAGTAAATCACGTTAAAGCTCTGATGTGCAACCACATATAATACCAATAGCATCTATAATAATTTAAAAATGCTTGTTTGGCATAGCATCTATAATAATTTAAAAATGCTTGTTTGGCAGGGCCACTGGCCCCTGCTTGTTAATGCTATAATTTGGATTCTTGGACGTTTGGTTGCATTCCGCTCTCTCAATGAAATACGTGCAATGCATGTTCTTGTTAATTTTGAGATGAGCATTGATGTACTACTACTTTTATTTAAACTGATCGTAGAAGGGAAATATTTTACCAGCATCACTATGAGGGGGTCCTTCGATTAAACTGGACAAGGGTCCTTGAGAGAAATAAAACAGAGGTTCAGCAAAAAAAAAATTGTTCCTATTATTTAGTTCCAAGCAATAGATCTGCCATGCGCAGCCATTGAATGTGCTAGGAATATACCTATAGTAGCTTAGCAAATGCATGATGTGTATTGTCTATAACTGAAACGTACTACTCTTGCCAAGTACTCCTGCACCCAAGCTCGAGATCCCAGGATACATTATAGGCTAAAAATCACAAAAAGAAGCTTAAAGCTCACAAATGTTAAGAAGATAAGGTCAGTGAGCTAACAATTTAAAACAAGCAGTGTATCAGCACCTGTGTTACACGGTCATGGAATGAGAGGAATGCGATATGGACTTGAGTGTTCAAGTCGAAAATTATGATTGGACATGGGAAATGCCACACAAATCTGACATGGATGACAGTCTAACTCAGATGCAGGTGTTTGACTTGGCAAATCAGACTACATGTATCGATGATATGTAGAATATGCATTTAGCCATGGTATACTGGCTCAATTTAAGATACATGTTCATTGTTAAACCAAACACGTTGATCCTTTTTACAAACAAAGGGACGAAAATGAATAATACTGTTGCCGGCCAAAGTAGCACATATAAATGGTTAGGAAAAATGAGCACCTGGTTGTTGCAAGCATATTGCCACTGGGTGAGAAATAAGCTGACTGAATGGCTTTGTTGTATTCCAAAACTTTCAAGCTCTCAGGACCCTTCTTTTTCATCCTTCTCATGTCCCATATGCAAACTGTTCGATCTGTCGAGCTTGTGGCAAATATATATGGGTTCTCTGGACGAAAATCTATTGAGTTGATTCTATGATCATGTAAACTCCATGTAGTTGGTACCTTACCCGTCCTTGCATCAAAAAGTTTTAATTCATTTCCCTCGGCAAAATATAGAGAGCTGGGACTATTTGGTGCTTGACAAAGCGAGAAAATGGGATAGTCACACAAGTGGATGGTATTAAAGTTCTCTTTCTCAACATCCATGAAACAAATTTCACCATGATAACTAGAGCTGTAAATCTGCAAGCACAGTTTATCATAGATAGCAGAATCAGAAACCCCTAAAATAATAAAAGTTACCATATAGCAAAACTGTACTGTCCTATAAACATGCCAGCATTATTTGCCTAATCTATCATCTGTCTTGTGAGAAGCAACATATGGTAGCCAACACTCAAAATTAAACAAGGCAGATATAGATTTTAGCACCGGCTTTACATCCATATTGGACATTTTCAGGAAAAAGGAGTTTTTACTTTAGATTACATAACACAGAGGATGATTTGCTGCCAATGGTTATTAAACTTTCATGAGGCATATATCACTGGTACAATCTAAAAGGACATTCTGTCTTGCTTAACCTCATTTCCTAGCTTTTCCTTGACTTTCTCCCTCAGTCCATTAGGTAGAACATTGCTAGAGTGTATAGCCCCAGCATGCCCCCCCTCCTCGTCAAAACTTGACGTGCCTTATTATATGATAAAACACCATTTATCCATCAGCTTAGCTATCTCAGGCAATCTAAGTTGCCGCACAGTTTACTTGCTCCAACAAGTACAAACTTGTATAGCCAAAGTACCAATTGTTCAAACAAATGCAGCAACGTTGGATCCACATAAACAGAAAAAGAAATAACACAATAGATAGTAATTTTAACATTATCACAAGTGCCAAAAGAAGAAACAATCACCTTCTGCGGCGTGGCAGGGTGCATCACAATGCCCCCTACAGACCCCCTGTGGGGAAAATACTCGAACACCCCGTCTACACCATCGCCATCCTCATCCTCCTCCACGAGACGATCCACATCCCAGAACCCAACATGCCCGTGCACGTTCCCGGCGACCACCACAGTCCGGTCGGACAGCGGCAGGATCCGCACGGACAATATCCGGCCCGGCACCACCTTCCTCACGTCCACGGGCCGGAGCACCACCTCCCTACTGGCGTTGAACCCGTCAGCCGCGCAGATCCCGCTATCGAGCGATGGCGAGGGCTCTGCGGCGGTGGCGTCTCGCAGGGCTGAGGCGAGGGAGGATGAGAAGCGTGTGGTGCGGGGCTTCGTCGGGGACGGTGGCGTTGCCCGGGAGGTGTTAGCGTCAGCACAAGCGGAGGACTCGCCGGGGGGGATGCCGCGGGTGCGCAAGGAGCGGCGGAGGACGACGGGGCTGGCCGTTCTCGCTCGGGGCTGCTGCTTCTTGGGGCGCTTTGGGGAGGAAAGGGTGGGGCTGAAGGAGGCAGAGAGCTCGGCGGCCTTGCGGCGGAGGGCGGCGAGGATGGCTTCGTTGCGGCGGATGTTCTCCTCGCGGCGGCGCTCATAGTCAGTAAGCCCGGGCCCCGGCGGCGGCGACGCCATTTTGGTGGATGGAATATTCTGGAAGCTGTTGCAGGCGGCGTGGTTGGGTCGTGGCGAGGGAGGGAAGAATTGAGGAAGTTGCTTGGATGTGAGGCGGCGGGACTGCGAGGGATGGCGGGAAGTTTTGCGACGGGGAGAGGTGAGTGGCGGGAAAGGGGCGCGCCGTAGGGCCCGAAAAAAGAGAAGCAGCAAGGGCACTGATGGGTCGACTCCTCCAAGAGAGAAGACCACGTAGCCTAAAAACCGAATCATCAAGTCGACTCATAATTCTCCAAGGGTGCAGGACTCGCACCCGACTCATCCCTTTCTTTTCATCTATCGCATGGGTGGAGCCAAGGCCCGGCCACCTGGGCTGCTGCCCGGGCTCCCCTGCCTACGGTCGTCTATTTGATAATATCTGTATAATATAATGCTCATCAGTATTTCCGTCCAATTTAATGAGGTGAGAGAGTGATTATCACATCTCATTTGCTACAGCAGCTGCCAGGTGAGCAGTATGTGGCAGGAGCAATGCTGACCACAGTGCCAAGAATATTAGCCACATTTTATTATTCTATATATCTTTGATTTTAGCTTATCTTCTTATTACACAATCGACATGTTAAGGAAAAAAATTGGTCTTAGTTACCTAAATTAACACATACTCTACCTTCATGCTGAAAATAATTTAGGACGCAATCTTTATTTGATTTTGCATGCCAAGAAATCGTAGCTTGATCTAATATGTTATAAATTTTTGTGTGTGGCTTGTCACTGTTAAGCATATGGCGTATTGTAGGGGTATGGCCCCGGATACCCATGGCAGATTACATGGACAACGCCGTCAGGGGTGATCCAGCCCATAAGACGAAGGCTTACGGTGCACGGTACTGCTCGGCGTGTACCGCAAGACATAAAGGGCGATATCCTGAAGATGCTATAAGATCTGTTACGATATGCTTGATCCCGTGATTCCTGTAATCTGTTATTACTTACCGGTTATTTCCTATATCTAACCGATTTGTAACCCTGCCCTCAGATATATAAGACGGGTAGAGAACCCTCTCAAAATACACGCAATATCATACAATAGCCAATACAAACCAACAGACTATAGAAGTAGGGTATTACATCGTGCAGACGGCCGGAACCTGTCTAACTCCTGTGTCCATGTTATCTTCTTGTTTTTGATTACGCGTACCTCTGCCGATCAATCTACCTTCGTGGGATACCCTCGAAGGATCACCGACGATATTCTGTATCGTCGACAGGTCCCGCCCTGGCTCTCTAAAACTCGAGGCTCCGCCACTGATCTATCAGCTGCTACTTTCCCTCTCCACCTGCTAGCACCGAGGGCAGCTGTGGTCGTCTCCACCAGCGTGGGCCCGTGCGGGCATGGCCGGCGAGGGCGCATGCGGGTGCAGGCGGATCCACGATCGTCTCCATCAACACTGGCGAGGGTGCATGCGGGCGTGTCCGTATCCAATGCCGTCTCCACCAGCGCCGCGTGAGGGGGCATACGGGCACAGGCGGATCCGCAACCGTCTCCACCAGCGCCGACGAGCACGTATGCGGGTGCGTCTAGATCCGCGGCCGTCTCCACCAACATGGGCCCATGCAGGCGCGACTATCTTTAATAAAGGGCGCGGGTTGCAGCCAGGTAAGGTCTTCTATGCAGCGTCGAGGGGGCGCAAGTCGTGGACTGGCGAGGCCGAGGGCCCGTGCGGTGTTGCCGATTCAATTTTTTTAATTCGGATGAACCGATACAAGATCTTGCCTCTCTCTCTCCTCGACGAGTCAGCATTCTCCGGTGATGAAATCGACTCATCGAGGCTCCACATAGGAGCATGAGTTGTTTTGTGAAAGCCACCGGAGAAGCCCTAACAGATGGCAAGTGCTGGCCGGCAACAGTTAGCATTAATATCGTTAAAAGTTAGTTTTAACTTTACTAGAACATCAGGAGCCCGAATGCAATGACTTAAAGAACAGAAGTTTTTGTCCACACTTACGGCCCCTTTGGCTTGGAGGTTTTCCCCCTATTTTCTACGATTTTTCTATGAAATAAACCGATTTTTATTAAATCACTATGAAATTTTTGTAAAATTCCTACGTTTCAAAAGGGGCCTTAATAAACATTAAGACCTAAACAAAAACATTGGTATGTAAGCTCTGTTGTATCCGGTTTGAAAGCATAGAAAAATCTCTTTCTTTCCAAGAATCATTATTTTTCAAACCCAAATATTCCAGGCTTCACATTAAGGACAAATCATTTTTGGATGCACATCAATCCTTGATGTCTGTCTATGTCGCGGAGGCTCGCGCTCTTTCGCGGAGGCTCCGCAGTCTATCGGGAGTTAGGGTTTGAACCATTTTCATCTTTCTCGTTTTACCCTAGTAACTACCATGAGTTAGTGCATCCATCTCTGCGTGCGTGTTCATGAGGACATCACTCCTTCAGACGTACCCATTGATCCTCTAACCATTATGCAAAGTCAAATGACCCGAGCTCGAATACGACAATTAAATCTAGAGATGAGCTCGTTAATAAGTGATATTTTCATAGTTTTGAGAATAGATGGTTACCTAATGATGTTATCTTACTTAGGAACATTGGAGAGGGTTATGAAGTACATGGAGAGGGTTGTTGATGAGGACATCCCAACCATACATGCTAGCTCAAGTATCAGTCGTCCACTACCCAACATAAAAGATACGAATCAAGGACCACTTACAAGAGGTCGTGCCAAGAAACTATAAGAGCTGGTGAATTTATTCCTAACTAATTTTAATTTCATCACTTCTAAGAATGTTATACTACCTAAATGTTCTATCTTGATATTGCTTAAGCTTACACATGAAGACATGGAAGACACGGAGATACAAAATGGATCCATCGGAAAAGGAACAGAAGGATGACTAGACTAGTCTGGTAAAGCTGCTAGAAAGGAACATGTCGGTGTTTTGAGAACCGACCAGTAAATTTATCGCCGCACTAAGGTCCTACTGGTAGGAAGTGTTCGAGGAGGGGAAATCGATTGTTTGGAAGAAGGTATGGCTCCCCTTATATAGCCGTGGGGGCTATGTTACATGCAAAAGAGTAGGGTTCTCCTAGCCCGAGTGCCTGGGAGCCCGAGGGAGGGAGAAGCTAGTTTGCTTGGTCGGCAAGCCTGCTGGTCTTGTCAGCACATCGGGGTATGGTTGTCGTCCTTATGCCGAGGCTTGTCGTACGGTGGTGGCACTATTCCGGCCATGGCGGTGCAATGGGAGTGGTGGTTGCTCACCAACTCCCCTGCCCCATGTGGCTCGCTTGCTGTCATCATGGCCTCCGTCCTGGCGTTCGTTTCTTCAGGGAGAAGTCATGATGTCATCGTACGGGGAGAGTGGCTGTCCATCGTGGGTTGCCTGCTTCCTAGGTCGAGATCCTGTTGCCCCAACCTTGCACGGTCAGGTCGAGGGCATAGGATCCGGTCAGAATGGGAGAGTTGGCTCCTAGTTGTGATTCCCATACCATAGTGGTTGGGATCGTACACCTATCCATTGGATCGGATTTGGGCGGTGCTGAGCCACGCGAGGTGACACTATCGTGCCCTAGTGTTGTCTTGTTTGTCAGCGGGGTGCTGACCAAGGCAACGCTCTGCCCTAGGGACAAACGATTAGAGGGGCTGTCATCCTCTTGTACTTAGTGTAGTATACGCGTGTGCGTCCTATCTGGGCGAGCATATTGAATGCGTCTCCCCATCTCTCGTCCTTTCCTTAGTGGCTAAGGCTAGGCACCGCGTGGTGCGTGGTTGAGAGGTGGGAGAGGTCGAGGCAGGCCTCATACAGCTCGAGGGTGAGAGGTCAAGGCAGGGCATGCTTAGATGGGTCGTGGCTAGCTGGGACACCCTGAGCAACTCTTAAGGCTGAGCTTTGGGGTATCCCGTTTACATAACCCCAACGGTAGCCCCTGAGTGTTTTTATGATTAGAGATAACCGTGAAGGCACTCTCTCGAGCGGTGCTTCGAGTGGCCGAGGTGTTAACACGGGTTGTGGCTACCGTGCGTCTATATTGTTTTATGTCCGCGTATTAAAATGCGGTACGCTAGCTTTCTGGTCGTCGTCCGCCCGAGGCACCTACCTTCTTTATTTTGACGGGATGAGTTGATTGGCGTGCACCGGGCCTAGTGACTTAGCCCATTGCGTGAGGTCTAGTCTGGCCTGGCCTCCGTGCTATGGTCGTTGGTTCTCCCCCTTGCGCTATGCTCGTGGGTAGTGATGCCTTCTCGAGTTCCGAGAATCACTTGGGTGGGCGTCTTCCTCCCATTTGAATGCACAGATGTCTCATTGCACGTCATTGAATCCTATTAAAAACAAGGATTGTAGTGCTTGTGGACTTGAACCACTCCGCTTCCCGTGCTCCCACTTTATGAAGCCTTCTAGGGGACCGCGTCTGTCTTAACTACCAACCACCATGTCCCCCACTATCATCCTCAGGGCACCTATTTAAGCCAAGGCCCTCCCCCAAGTTCCTTAGCATTAAGCCGAGTGAGAGAGTGGCTGCCCCTTTTGTGTGTCATGGCACACAGTGCATCCTGGCGGATGCGCCGTTGCTGGGAGAAGGCTTTCAAGATCAGGTTCTGTAGCAACCCGCCAGTAGCTATTCGCCTTGGGTGCTCAAGGAAGCTCCACAAAGATGGAGAGGAACTGTACCTTTGGTGGCCCAGATCACCGGTGGAGCGGTGGCCGGACTTGTACATGTTTGGCACACTCGAGATCTCCAAGTTAGAATATCTATAGGAGATCTTGGAGGGTGAAAGGTACCTTGCTATTGTAGGGAAACCTTTTGAGCCCACAGATCTTGACCTAGGATCTATTGCATATCGATTCGATGGCTCGAGGATGTCGAGTCGTCGCCGTGCGTTCCTCCCCAATGTTGGAGAAGCTAGCGCGGACATGGCTCCTCGTGGGTCTCCTCATCCTCTTAGATGTTGAAGGAAGCTCCGCAAGGTGCTTGTAAGGAAAATGAACCACGACCCATTTAG